GACACCTTCCCTGCCTCCCCGCCACATGACATGATTTGCCTAAAGTCACCCAACTAACTGGCATCAAAATTATCAAGGGTTACCATACAAAATATCAAATGCTAGGTAGCCTAAAACTTAAACAACATACTGGCCCACACCCACAGATAGTAGAAGATGAGTGTCAATAGTCATGACTCCCTTATTGGGGAATCTAGTCCACGTGTCTCTTTTACGTTTGATGATCCTTGACATTTCTTGGTTTTAAAACACTCTATTCTGATCCCTGTCTCTACCACCAAGTGACACTCTGCCACTGTGCTCAAAAATTCCCTTTTTATAAAGCTGTTAGGCTTAGCACACCTGTAAGCAGGGGTCTTGGAAGGGAGAAGAAGGGAGATCGGGAATTCAAGATCAACTTCGCTATATAGTGAGATCAAACCTAGCTAAGGCTGTCAGAGACGCTGGTTAAACCTCTGTCCCCACAACCCCAATACAACTTCATTTTAACTGAATTATATTGGCAAAGACCCAATTTCTAAATGAGGTTACTGTTAGGAATTTTTCCTAACGCGAGTTCTCTGCTGACGCAAAATCCCAATCAAGCCAAATCAAAACAAACCAAATTAAGAAATATCCAGGTTTAATGGGATTCCTGCTCTCTTGGGTGGCCTCAAGGGAGAACCAGGAGGGAGGCCGCAATAGAGATCAGTGTTCCTCTTTGGGGAGTTCACTTAAATACCCTGTGGGAGTGGTCCAAGCTGGGATTTGGAGTCCAGAAAAATACAACTCTCAGGCCTGGGGGCCGGGATGGATGCGAGGGGCTGGGAGCTATGCTCTCAGCTTAACAGTTACATTTACAAATGCCTGCAGTTAGGTCTTTAAAAAATAACTACAGTGAAACCCTGTCTCAAACAACCAAAATAATAATAATAATAATAATAACCACCTTTGGGACAAACATTACAAACCAAACAGTAGCTAATATTCAGAGAATCCCCCGATTGTATGTACCTTGCCCAAGTCCCTCAGCCAAAGTCTTTGCCTAGGGTGCAGCAAAGTCTCTTCCAGGTTGAACTTCCGGTGAGTGATTTGCAGAACCTGCTGGTGTCTTCTCCAGGTCAGGGGTGGGGCTGGGTGTGGTTGCTTGTTCTCCTTTACAGAAAAAGGAGTCCTAGGTTTTTAGTGGGTGCTGGGGAGAATCATGAAGAAACTGGGTACAAAGCATGTCTACCCTCCCAAACCCTTGCTTGTGCAGACAACACGAAATCACGCAGCAGAGACTGAGGGTTTCTGGGCAGTGTCTGGATTCCTGATGCAGATAGCACACTTGCTTCTTCCTTCTCTGGGTCCTTTCCCACCTGCAGTCTCCACAGGATAACTACAAGTACAATTACCTTGCTACCTTGTGTGCACAGGTAACAAAATACCAGACCAAGCCCAGCACACTAAGCATGATGAAGCAAAAAGAACACTGAAAGCAGTCAGCATCAGCTGAGCAGGCAGCTCTGTGAGTCGAGCGCCTGAGACAGGAGCATAACGGTCTGCACTCTGCTGCCAGCACCTACGCAAAGGGCTGCACACGGCAGCGCACAGCACAGATCCCAGCACAAGGAAAGACAGCGATGGAGAAAGACTCTCCACCAACAAATCTATACATGTCCATGTAAACCCACACACTTGCACACACACACACAAACATGCATAAAAATAAATATAAGTAAAGAGCAAATACTAAACATGTGATATGCAACAGGTACAGTTATGGACACAGGAAATGTATTTGCCATATTGGCTAAATACAGTAGTATACTCATTCATGCCTGCAATCCAAAAACTGAAACTTAAATGCTTTCAGGGTCCATGCTATTAGCTACTAGAGCAGTGCTTCTCGACCTTCCTAATGCTGCAATCCTTTAATACAGAGCCTCATGTGATAATCACCCTTAGCCATAAAATCATTTTCATACTGCTGCACTGGAGAAAGGAACCTGGGGTCCTGGTGGCACCATTTAAATGTTAGATGGCTCATTTTTATTTGGTTGGTACCAATATTTGCAGTTGATTTCATTCTTGGCTGACATGTGGATATTACATCAAGAGGACGTGATGCGATAATGCAGAGAAAGGAAAATAATGGCATTCAGTTAAGAACATCAAGACTCCAGTGGTTCTCTGCAAATACCTGGGTTTAATGTTTAACCATTTCCAGAAGCAGATCAGTTAAATGAATAATGTGGCAGGCAGATAGCATGATCACAAAGATACCCACATCCTAGGAACCTGGGAATGTGTCGTTGTTACCTGGCAGAGGAGACCCTGTAGCTATGGCGAAGTTTATTGACCTCAAGATAGAGAATTGAGTTTGGATTAACCATGTGAGCCCATTCCAATCACAGGGGTCCTGAAATCCAGGAGAACACACACAGCCCTTTCCCATCACCCCCCAACTCCAATGAGGGAGAATTAACCGCAGTCACTTAGCAAGGTTGTAGCAAGAGACTCTCCCAATGTTCTGCTGCTGGTTCGGAGCTGAGTGTTGGATCAAAGAGGTCTCAGGAGTAGGCAATCAGAAAAAAAAAAAACTGGAGTGTGCAGTGCCTCTGCTGCTGGAGCTGCGTTCTGCTAACCCCTGAGTAAGAGGAGGAACTAACTCTCCGCTAGGGCCCAAGGAAAAGGGCAAGTCGTGCCTGAACCTCTCAGAGCCACGCTGGACTTCTGACCTAAACTGTGGTGGGATATTTCAATAATTTAAGCCTTTAAGTTTGTGCTATTATGTTATGGTTACAATAGAAAGAAACCTGAAACCAATCAGACATGATCCAGAAATTTAACAGCTTTTTGGAAGCTATGACCATAGCTTAGCATAAGGAGACAAGGATTTGGGGTACAGTGCTGTAGTTCATCTTGTTTTAAGGCCAAGTGCAGGCTCTTCGGACATCCCATTCACCTCATCCCAGAGGGACCACAATCAGACTGGAAACAGGGCCTGATATGGGAGAGAAGGAGACAGGGCCAGTCCAACCCAGTGCTGTAGGAGACAAGAGCGTTGCTAGGCTGCAGGGATGCAGACCACAGTGGAAAGCTGGCTGGAGCTGGGAGGGCGGGGGTTAAACTGGGCGAATGTCTGCGCAGGTGTTCACAGTGGCCTCTCTGAAAGCACCCAACTTGCAGCCCAGTGATGCTGGTATTTGATAATGAGTACAAAATGCCACCGTCTAATGTCAGAAACTCCGTTTAAAAAGAGAGGAAAAAGAAAGCTCCTTGTGATTCTCTCTCCCACTCAACCTCTGCAGTAAGTTGGGGTCACTGTGGACATTGTGTGGCCCAGTTGCTGCCTCTCTCAAGGCTAATGAGCAAGCCAGTCAGGTTTCAGTCTGAAGGTTAAATTGAGGACAAAGTTGACTTTGAGGTGACAAGGATCTGCCTGTATTTTGAATCAAAATTTGATAACAGAAATATTCCAGATCTCAAGAGAAATGGCTGTCCATCATTAACATGCTTCTTAGGGCAAGCATCCTTCTAATTAGAGATTTGGGAAGCTACGGACGCTGTGACCTGCAGCGATATAGATTACGGAGCTGGTTTGTCAAACACAGCTATGTCTGCTGACAAGAAACCAGCTATGTAAAGATACGAGAAATGGAGATGCCGCACCAATTTTCCAGAACCAAATCTACCTCTGAAAAGGTGTAACTCCATGCAAAATCTGCTTCATCATTTGAATAACAAAATAAGATATGCAAAAGAAAATAAGACTCCTCAAAGAGAATTTGTATTCAGGTCACAGTGATTACAAGCAGGGGGATGAATATTTCTGGTGCTGTATTCAAATGTTTTGTGAAGAAAAGAATGCGTTTTCGAAATGGAGCTGAGATAATACCAGGGACTTTGCTTGTGTGACTATAAAGGAAGTTCCCAGGCAGGTTTTTTTCTGTTTCTTATAAATTCCTGGAGGTAATGGCAAAAGCGGCCATTAAAATTCATTAGATGAAAAGTAAACCTCTTTTGCAATTGATGGCGCTCTCCTCTAAACTGTTAGCCCCGTTACGGAGACACCTCTGTCTGCCAAACTCTATCTCTGGTGTCTGTTTCTCTCTAAACAGTTCTCTTGCTCTTTAATCTTAGGAATGTCCTTCCAGTATAAACGTTCCTTCTTGCACCACCTATCACTCTCCGGGGCATTCCAGGAACTCGCCTCAAGATGCTTCTCTGCTTTTACAGTTTTGAGGTGATGAGGAAATTTCTCTGTCCTCAGCATAAAGGTTAGAAATTAAGAATGACAGAAAAGGAGACTTGTTATATTTTAGTATGTGTGCATGTGCATGTGTGTGTTGTATGTGTGTGCATGGAGACCAGAAAGCAGCACTGGGTACTGTCTTCAGGAATGTCATCTACCTGCTTTAAGACAGGCTCTCTCATTGGCCTACAAGTCACCAATCAGGGAAGAACGACTGGCCAAGCATCAGGAATCATCCCGCCCCCCCTCCCCAATGCTGTGCTCCCCTACCGTGCCAGCACGGTCTGGAACCACGAGTCTCGGTGGAGGGTGTCCAGGTTGAACGAAATCCACAGAGCACGAGGTTGAGGTGAAACAGCAGCTTTTTTATTGTTTTGCTGGGGCTAGCTTTTATACCATGGCACCAAATGGGGAGAGGGCTGCGAAGGGACTGTCACCTGTCCCCAGTAGGGACTGTCACCTGACCCCAGCAGGGATCAAGGAATAATCACGTGCACTCAAACTTCCTCATCCAACTCCAGGAGCAGAGGGAAGTTATGATTCTCTGCAGATAAGCACCTCAAATGGGGGCAGGGAAATATAACTCGAGGTAGCAATTCCCACACTCCCCCATATCCACCTGGCTTCTCTTCTCCCCCTGCCTCCAGATAGGGTTTCTCTGTAGCTTTGGAGTCTGTCCTGGATAGCTCTTGTAGACCAGGCTGGCCTCAAACTCTCACAGATCTGCCTGCCTCTGCCTGGGATTAAAGGCGTGCGTCACCACCGCCCTGCCCACCTGGCTTCTTATGTAGGTGTTGGGAACCCAGACTCAGATCCTCTGGTCAGAGTACCTCTCTGTCCATGAAATTCAGCTGCACCAAAAGCTGGAAGCAAAGAAATGGAACAGAAAGATCTCTTCTCTGACAATGCCCAGAGGAAAACCCCTGCAGCAGGCACTGGGGAAGGGAAAGGGGGTGGAATCCTCCTTCTGCCACCACCTGCCTTGTGAACTGAATGAATAATTGAACCTTTTAAGCTGCAGTGTCCTCATTTAGGCGGAGGTGTTAATTTCTGCCTAAGGGCATGTTTAAGAAGGTGAAGGATATCTTTTTAAGGGCTAGCCTCCCATGCTCTTGAGGCCCAAGGTTCAATCCCCAGAAAGGGGGAGAGGAATATACAGTTTCTATTTGGGGAACACTATGGGAGAGGGATAACATAAACTTATAACACATATAAGTTTAAAAATACTCTATATGCTAGCTTTTAAAGCATATGTTTAAAAGCTATCCATCCAGCAAGTCTCCAACCTCTCCCCTCCTCCTTTGGGCCTCCTTCTAAACAGCCTAGCAGCTCCCAGAGGTAGCGGCTGGTGTCTTTCTGAAATTACCTGGTGTGAGTGAGAAGGAACCACAAAACATGCAACAAACCTGCTTAGTTTATTAGAGGGGGCTTGCACAGGCCTGGGAAGTCAGTGTGCAGAGAGAGGGAGGAAGATGAAGGTCCAGCTTTTAAAACCTGCCTAGCGCATGCTCACAGGGGGTTGATGCGGCTATCTCATACACAGATGATGGGCTCACGCATGCACACCAGGGCTTAGCTGAATCATATGTGGATGTAACCACTCATGTGGGTCACGCGGGGCCCTTTAACATTCAGGCACTTCTGCCTGAGAGCTTGTCTGCACGTGCATGGCTCTAGAACCCAGAAGTGCAGCCTTATTTGTGGCCAAATAATTACACTCTCCCTGTGATACCACCACCATTCCTTCTAAGCTGTGCATCAGGAGTTCAGACATAGTGAGCGAGCAGCTCCCCTGAGGGAAAAGTTGATTGTTGCTTGGTGGGACATTCATGGGAAGATATCCAGGCTCCACTCTCCTGAGATTTAGCTCAAGAGAAAGCAACATAAACAATAAATACTACACTAGAGGGAACAAGAGGGGATCAGCGCACAACCAGACACCATCGTGCGCACCTGTAACCTAAGTAGTCAGAAACTGAGACGGGAGGACCAGGATCTGAGGCCAGTCTGGATAGACAGCAAGGCCCTGCTCGGAGTAAACAGACAAATAAGCAAATGGACAACAACTACTACAAATTCATGAGTGCAGAGGGGTTTTTTTGTCCTTGGAAAACAGAAAGTTAGCTGTAGGTAACTTGGCTTAAAGAGAGCGAGCGCTTTGCTCTCTGCCTGCTGAGACAGTTGAGAAGTTCGGGCCCTTGATATTAGCTTCACACTGAAAGTGAAATTGATTTCAAGTCTGTTCATAAGCCAGCTCCGCATCTCACCCTCCCAGAACCTGCGGCAATAAAAATAATAAAAATAAACACAAGAGAAGCAACTCAACTTATTTCATTACCTTAGATTTTACACTTCATGTTTGGTAGCTTGACAAAGAATGTCACGATCTTTTATGATATCAATCTTTTGTGATATTCTTTTTATTACACTAGATGGCAGGGGAATTGCCCCAAATTAATAAAAACCATATGTTGGGTTTTGATTAGAGATCACTTTGGAATAATGATGGAGCTGGCTGGGGAGAGAGCTAGGCACCTCCCTTCCTGTCTCAGTCAGCCTTCCAGGGTCCCTCTGGCTGTCGTTCCTTTCCCATCTTTACCTTTACAAACGAAACCAAGAGAATGAAAGGTCTTGTAAACCTCTGGTGCATAGACTGGTTACCAAAAGTCACACTGTACTCTGCACTATTTGTAGCACTGGGGGCCATACTAGCACTATTTCATGGCTGTAACTAGACAGGGGCATCTGTGATACAACGGGTCCTCCGAGCACTCAATATGTGGCACTGGCAGAGAGCATTCCCTCGGTGTCTAGAGAAAAGGGGAAATTTCTCCTGTGGGGAAAATAAACTTTCCTACATGTCATGCATATGTCTCCAAGTGTCTCCCTGCTTTTTGGCACCAGCCTACGTAGAAACTGATTTTTAGCCTTTGACGATGTTGCTAGCACCACAGATAACTGAAACCCAACAAGGTAGTTCATCTTTCTTTCATTCCTACTTCAGATCCACTCCAGCTGCAACGGTAACCTAAGAAATGCATTAAAATTCTGGTTCTGGGGGCTGAGAGATGGTTCAGCTGTCAAAAGCCCATAATACTCTTTGGAGAGGATCCAGATTCCGGTCCAGCCCTCTCATGGCAGCCCGCAAATGTCTGTAACTCCAGGTCCAAGAGAACTGACACCTTCCACTGGCCTCCATAAGCACCAAACACATACACAGCACACACACACATCTAAGTAAAATACTCATTCACATGAAATAACAGTAAATACATCTCTGTTTTTTAAAATAATGATTCCTGAGTCTGTCTCCAACTATTCAGAGTCCCTAAGGCTGGAGCTGGGCCCAGGAATCTGCACTGACAACAAGTAAGCTAGATATCACTCTTGAGAAAAAGCCTAGCAGGAGCCTTCGAAATGTCTTAGTGTGACTCCAATCACTGTTGCTGAAATGAAGTCTAAACCCAAATCCAAGCCCTGCCGAGAACAAGCCATGAGATCCTGGGAAATCGTCCACTGTAAAGTTGGTTTCCTACTACTGAAAACGACACCAGAACACCTATGTCGTGTGGATGTTAAGGTTATTTGAATTCTATAAACTTTGTTTAGTGCTGTGCTTGGTATTTGACATATCCCACATCTAGGTAAATATTCCTGAAGTCAAAACATGCTTCAGAGAAGGGAGTGTAAGTCCCAAGTCTTAGTCTCTGGCCTCCATCTTTGGAGGCCCCGTCCCTGTGCCCACCAAGCCTTGACCCCTCCCTGGAGGAGGGTCAAGACAGCCCGCCAACATCTTGACTGCTCCCCCAGTCTACCTAAACTGCTTCTCCAGAAGGTCCCCTTGTGATCTCTTTCCTTTCTCCCCACCCTGCCCCTGGTGGTCGGTGGTTGCCTTCGTGGTCTCCCGGTTCCCCTTTGGGGCCACCTGAGAGTGCAGGAATTCCATTAAACCTGGATATTTTTTTAATTTGGCTTGCTGTGATTTGGCTTGATTTGGATTTTTGCGTGGGCAGAGAGCTCACATTAGGAAAAATTCCTAACAGGGAGTTCTTATGGTTTAGGTATAAATGCCTCCCACAGGATCATTGAGTGTGAACACCTGCTCACCAGGTGGTGGTGCTGTTTGGGAAGGTTGTAGAACCTTCCAGATTGAGAGCCTAGCTGACAGAGATGGCCTCGAGAGTCCAGCTACTGAAGCTTGCGGTCATTTGGTTCATGCCTGCCTTTTTTTGCGTCCTGTTCTACAGCCACAGTGTGAAGAAGCCTCTACCACACACCCCTGCGACCTTGTCCACTGTGGCAGACTGTGGCTCTTAAAGCACGGACTAAGAGAAATCTTTTCTAAGTTGCTTATGGAAGGTATATATTACCACGATAAGAAAAGTAACTAATACAAGAATTATAAATAAACAAATAATGGAGATAAACCAAGAAAAATGTTAGGACGATCTTAGGTCAAAATTTGAGGAAAATTAAAGTAAACAAATAGGAAAAGGTAAAAATATGATAGACTATAAAATATTGCAGTAAATTGAGAAGAAATTCATAATTGCTCTCATTGGATTCTGGACAGTTGTGTTGTGCCTTATTTCTTGGAGACCAAGTATGGCTCTGTTTTGTTTTGTTTTGTTTTGTGATTTTTTTCTTTTCTTTTCCTTTTTCTGAGACAGGCTCTCTCTGTGTAGCTTTGGAGTCTGTCCTGGAACTCACTCTGTAGACCAGGCTGGCCTCAAACTCACAGAGATCTGCCTGCCTCTTCCTCCTGAGTGCTGGAATTAAAGGCATGCAACACTACCACTCAGTCCGAGACCAAGAATGTTTTAAAGAGATTCAAACGGGCAATAAATTATCAAGAAGTGGACCACAATGACACTTCGATATGTCAACTTACCTGTGCTATAGTCTCCACTCATCCGAACACTAACTTACGCGGCACTGTTACAGGGCAGTAGCCAATGTAACTGAGGTCCTAATCAATGGACCTGGGTGGCCAAGTAGATGGTCCTAAAAGCTAGCTGAAGCTTTCCTAACATGGGGGGTGGTTTTCAAGCCTGGGCCTGTTGGCTCCTAACTTGCCCGTAATTTTCCTTTCCTGTTGTCCTGGCATACCTACAGTACATAGCAGTCCATACCTAGTATCTTTGTCATGAGTGAAACCACATGAATGAGCATACAAGAGAATTATATGACAATTACTGGTTGCCTCTGTCTCCTGTCCTGTTTGCAGCCAGTTTCAAGCCACCATAGCGTCTAAAAGAAACGACAAAAGATACAGCTCCAAAGAAGCACAGACAATGTTTAGAAAGACACTCTCTCCTCACCTTGAAAGTGACTAACTGTTACAATCCGCCTGGGACAGTAGCTTGGAATTCTGTGATAAGTACTGAGGAGATGACAATGAAGTAGTGGATATTTTTTTTTTTTGGTTTTGATCATTCTACTATTAATCCAAAGAAATTCATGATTTTATTCTCCTATAATGCTGGAACTATCTCTCTGAGAGATTATGACAGGCATTAGTGGCCTCATAGTATGTAAAGAAACAAAAGTTAAGGGAAGGTTGAGCTGCTCCCCCATGGCTCAGCTAGCCACTGTGTAAGGCGTGTTCTGGGAACATGCGGTCTAAAAACACTCACACCCGGTTTGTGGGAGAAAGGATTGAGAAGCGGTATGTGTTTTATATTTTATTTGAAGTGAAAAGAAAAATACTCATGAACGGTAGATTTTAAAGAGAAAAATACATGAGTATGACATAAGATTCACATTAAAGAGTTTCTCAATGCACCATAGACTGTAAAAGGATTAAAGTACAATTCCTATTAGGCTCCACTTTCATTTCTAGAAGCATAGGGAACATTCACGTTGAACTTACTGAGTGAATTCTATTCTGGTTTTGCTTCTTCCTGCTCTCAGTTCTCTACCGAAGTATGTGCTCCGTGACTGTGCCAGTGACTGTGTGCGTGCATGCGTGCATGTGTTCATGTATAAAAATTATTTCCTGGTAGTCCTTATTGCTCTGGTAGGAGTCAAGAAAGAACATTGAGACCTAAGGATCTAATGTTTTGTCTACTTCACTGAGCACAAGAATCCCCCGGAAAGTTAATAGTGCTCAGTCCCTCTATCACTCTCTGCCTTGACTCCTGACATCAGAGGTCACCTGAGGTGGGGTGGGGAGAAGGATGACGTAAAGTAAGTTTATCCAAGGTAGGAAGCATAGGCCATGCTCACCTTCCTGAGTTATCAGAACTGGGTGGAACCTCAGACTATACATCCCCAACACACTCCCACCGTGACTCTTTCATAACCAATCCAGGGACAACATCTCAAGGAGCCACTTGACATGCGCCACTCCAGACTAACAAGACATCTATCTCTAGGTTACAAAATACCCAATGTGTTAACCATGAGTGACTATAAAGACAAAGTGGTGGTTACCAGAGGCAAGGGCAAGCAGGGATTAGGTGCACAGATGCTGAATGAGTTAACTCACAGGTAGAAGCAAGAATGCTGGTGTTTAGTCGTAAAGCAGGTTAATTGCAGATTGTAATGTACCACATATTTCAAAAAGCTAGAAGAAAGGATTTTTGAATGGTTTTACTGTAAATAAATAATAAATATTTGAGGCTATTGCGGAAACCCTGATTTAAACATTATATAATAAGTACATGAAGTATATCAATACTTCACATACTGCCCATTAGCATTACAAGTTTCATATTTTTAACTTAAACTTAAGTTAAGTTAATAAAGGTTAGATGTCAAATCAAGAAAGGAAAACCAAATGTTAACTTTTGCTGTCTCCAAAGAACAAAACAACACTGCCCATGCCTGGTGCCCCTGAATCTCATGTATGCACTTCTGCTTTTGAGCTAAATGCTTCAGTCCAAAGTGTGGACTCAGACCGCAGCAGCCACATCACCTGAATCAGTTGGCAATGGAGACTCCTGGTTCACATCCCAGACCTCTGTTTGGTGCTGATGGAGATTTACAGCCATGACAATGCAGGGTTACACACTCCCCAGAGAAGTCTTTCCCAGAAAGGCCTGTGAAGAGGCTTGTTCCCATACCTCCCACGCTCCCTGACCACAGGGCAAGCAGCAGCCCCCCTCCCCCAGCTGAGGTCTGAAGGCCAGGTCAAGGTCATCCTTCCCGTGTGGATGTGTCTGTTGTCTGTCTCAGCCAGCAACTTCCTCCAGTGGCTTCCCTTGCTCACCAAGTCACCCATCAAAGCATTGCCCTGTGGCCAGCGAGGGTGGGCTCCGTCCATTCATTTCCCAGGCCCCTCCCTCTAGCATCCTGGATAAACTCAGACAATTTAAGTCATCCTTATCGTCACACTAGCAAATGTGGCCCTATGAGGACAGGAAAAGGCCAAGACAGAAAGGAAGAGGGCACAAACCAGCACACCACACCCTCGGCTCTGCGAGGCCAGACACTCTTTCCTCTTGCCAGCCGGATGCAACACCTCCGGCTATTTTCCCTCCTCTGTGTGCTCTTTTCTCCTTCTCTTTTCCAACAGAGACATTTCAAATGTCAGTGGGTGACGGTGGGGCCAAGTCAACCGGGAGGAGACCAAAAAGCTAAAGGATCTGAGCTTTGCGGTAAAGTTGCTTCAAGGGAAACTCGGGACCCTGCCCCATGCAGAGAATGGAGAATTCATGAGTGGCTCAAGTGGGCATTTGTTGTGCTAACTCGGGCTCTGTAGGGCTAACCTTCATTTACAGACCTGAACCAAAGTGGTTAAATGCTTGAAGAGAATTCCTTCCCTTCATTCCACTCCCCACTTCCCTTCCCCTCCCCCACTCCGGAGGGAATGAAAGAGAACAAGACAGAGGTTAACTGAGGCAGACAATACAAACGGAGGGGGTTCCCATCTAAACCCCCAGTCACTGACTCTCCTCAGTTTTTCATGGCTCCCTTCAAAAAAAAAAAAAAAAAAACCCTAAGAGAGACTTAGGCAAACTGGTTCTCTCCTTACCAAGACAGCCAAGTGTTCAAACATTGCCCTCCCCTGAGAGAGGTCAAGGCTGCTCAGGTATCTTCTCAGAGGGCCTGAGAGTCCAGGGACATTCCATATTTTAGATGAGTAATACAGACTTACTTGTCTAATGCCTTACTGAATCTCGTCAACACAGCAGCCAAGTAGAAATTATGTCTGCATGCTGTGCAGGGCCATAAATCCAAGGTGCTGTGACATTCTCAGTCAGTCCATATTTCAAGGCAAGGAAGTTTATTCCTACAAGGAGGTTAATAATAAATGTAATGCACAAGAAGGGAAGTTTGCTTCTACCACAGGCCTCTCACAGACCCATCTTTGAGTCAGAGAATTTGAGGCATTTAGGATAGGATTCCCAGTGGGCATGGAGCTAGCCTACCGGAGACTCCACTCACCTAGTGGGCTGGGAATGGGAGACACATGGCTCTCTGGGTTTAATGTAATCACAGGAATCATTTGAGCCTGCTGGCAAAGGAGAAAGCCATGAGCCACAGTTTAAGGTGTTCATGAAAACAGGTAAGGGTGGAGCTGGGGTATGGTCCCGTTGATAATTTGTACAGCTACGGGTGTGGATGCTCACCTCTACCGCAGCACTTCAGAGTAGATATCAAGGTCACCCTTGGCTAACAAGACCCCACTGGAAAGGGCTGGAGAGATGGACCCCAGGATAACAGGGCCTGCCAACGAGCCTCCTGATGAGTCCCAGAACCCACAAGTTGTCCTCTGAACTCCACATGTCCACTATAACAAAAACAAATATAGTTTTAAATACCCCCATCTCAAAATAAATCAATTTAAAATGGGGGAGGAGAGAATGGGGAGACTCTGGTCTGAGGAAGTCAAGTACCTCCTGCGTGGGACTGAGAGTCCAGGTAAGTCAGATCAGAATCTGACTTGATAGCCGTTTTTTGAGCTTTGGCTGAAAACCAGGGCCTCTCCTGCACTAGACTGCTCCATGCTGGTCACAGGTCCCTCCCTCCCCTCCCCATATATGAACACTATGAGTCACTCTGCCTATCATAATGTCCTGCCTGAAGTTACCTGGCGCGAGTGAGAAGGAACCACAGAACACACAACAAACCTGCTTAGGAGTGTGTACAGGCCTGGGAAGTCAGTGTGCAGAGAGAGGGAGGAAGATGACACGTCCAGAGTTTAAAACCTACCTAGCGCACGCGCACAAGGGGTTGACATGGCTACATCATACGCAGATGACAGGGCTCACACATGTGCGTAAGGGCTTAGCTGAGTCCTGCGTGAATGTAACCACGCATGCGCGCACGTGGGTCACGGGGGCCCTTTACAATTGAGGCACTTCTGCCTGAAGGCTTGTCTGCACGTGCGGCAACCTTATTTGTGGCTGAATAATTACACTGTCTCTTCAAAACCTTACCCCTCTCCACCCATACAAGCTGGTCTTACCGTCTTCTGTGTTTCCCAACAACTCTTAGTAAACTGAGATCACATACTCTTCCCACAGAAGGGAGTCTAGGGCCAAGGGAAAAAGCAGAGCCTAGGATCCGAGCCGCTACCTCTGGTTTGTAAGTGGTCTGCCCACTTACGAGCCAAACTCACTTGGACAAGCTTTCTAGCTCATAGCACCCGCTCACAGCGCCCATGGAACGAGGAAGAAATTATTATGGCTCACTTCAACTTACAAAAAAAATTGACAAATTGCTGTTGAAAATAGATTGACCACTGGTGCTACATTGTTGGGAAATTTCCATTTCTCTAGCAAACAAAATTTCCATAATTAAAAATATACATACAGAAAGACAGAAATTATTGTTCTGTTTTCCCCCATTCCCAAACCCAGTGGTTCACAAGTCTTAAGTTTCTGATGTCAAAAAGAGATAGAGGAAGGGAGATTGAAGAAGGAAGGGAGGGAGGGAGGGAGGGAGGGAGGGAGGGAGGGAGGGAGAGAGGGAGGAGCCCTGCCTAACCTGGTGTTTTCCAACTTTATTTAACCATGAGGTCATTCTCTCTCTTGCAAAGCCTTTCACCATCCCAGCGAGTTGTCTGAGGTTCTAAGGAACACACAGCAACATTTATGTGTTTTTCCTCTTATTTATCTTTAAAACCCAGAGAGAATATATTGATTTTCTTTGAAGGAGTGTGAGCACACTCACGTGTGCACCTAAAGGCCACACAGCTCAGCAGTGTGCCAGATGTTCACGTATCAGCTGCTCAGTGAGATTTTAAGAGCTGACTACTTTACACAAAGATATAAAATGCACAACTTACATTTAGTTGTACACACATTAATTAATGTTTCTTCATGCCCCATTTAATCTGTGCATAGGCTGTTTTGGAGGCTAAATGTTTAATTAAAGCCTTCTGTTTTGACCATAGGTATACCTAGTACAGATGTCTGCTTAGCCTGGGATGTCAAACCTTGGTGCTCTTGCCTGGCTTCGCCCTCTCTCAGTTTGTGTGAGCTTCCCAGGCCTCCATTTCCTCAGTGTGAAGAGCACTGAACCAGATCACCTTGAGAGCCTATTCAGCATCAACACTTATATTTCAGAACCCTTGCCCCAGCCAGCCTCTCTCACCATGACTGCCACTCTATGATCCAAATATTTGACTTGTAAAATGCGAACAGATTTCATTTACTAAAAGCCTCTAATCAAAACCAAAACCTTTTACTTAAACAATTAGAAAACAATTAGCCAAGGGAATAAAAACAATTTTAATTTGCTAAATGGGCTTCTTCCCTCCTAATAGATATGGACAAGACCCTAACCGATGCTTCTGACCACACGTTAACCACCCAGCCATCACTGAGTCTGTGGATGGAGATGCGGGTTGGCTCAATTTCCTATTAGGAAAAGGGAAAGTGTCCACTTTAACCTCAGGCTACCAGGCTGATTCATGTTTAAACATGTGCCTAACGTTAGCAAGTTTAGTGCTTTCTGTGCATCGATCTGCCCTGAAGCTGAGGCGCAGATGGATCTCACACCAGCCCCGCATCCTGCATACCTTTGTCCTCATACTTTGTGCAACGGCTGGGGACTAATGAACCTCTCCTGAGACATGATCTCCCTGAGGGTACTTTTGAGCCCAGTTGAGATGAACAATCAGAGCCCCTTTTAATTAATGAAATGTGAGTGCAGTTAGCCAAAGTTCTAGTAGATTCTATCCAGGAAAAAAAAAGTGTCTTTATTTTGCACAACACTCAAAGGGATCAATAAGGAAACCTTCTGTTTTCAACATTACCTAGCAACAGCATGGGCGGTATTTAACAGACTACCTTTATTCAGTGGAAAGCAAATGTCTCAGTTTAGAGCACAGAGGGAGCCCTTTCTATCTGCAAAGTTCTCATAAACTGACCTTTTCTTAGTTCCTTTTGTTAGCCTCTGATTTCCACAAATTTTAATTTGGCAGGTTATTTCATCCCTCGAAATTGTATATGTTTTTAAGAATATATGTATATATATATGTACACTTATGTATATATATTTTATATGTATGTAATGACAATTGTGAAAGACTTCATAGATTTGAAAGGGGAGGTTTGAAAGGAAGAAAGGGAATGGGTGAATGACCTAGTTATAATCTCAAAAAAAATTAAGTCTATTCATGATTTTAGAGATGAATGCACTATTAGGAATTGTGTCTGGATGAAGGAAGCAGGTTGCTGGGAGCACTGGGGATGCTTCTTTGAAGGACATTCTTTCCCTGCCTCCTTCTAGTTGCTTTCTCTTCCTGCTTCTGACCGCCCTCTGGTAAAGGCTGTGCTCACCTGCATTCTTCTAGCATAATGTTTGTGTTGTCATAGGCCAATAGCCGCCGAGCCAAATGACCATGGATTGGATCCTCTGAAACACATAAGCCAGAATAAACTTTGCCACAGTGATGAAAACTAATACCACAGAAAAGGACAGCCTGTGTGGTGCCACAGGGAGGGGTCCTTACGTCTATGCTACAGTTGAGAAGATAAGAATGCTCCCGCAGGCGGGCAAGACTGAAAGCAGAAGGGCTAAGCTGAGCATCTCTGATGTTGCTTCTCAATCTACGATGTTAAGGGAAGAAACGAGGCTAGGAGTGTTACATGAAGGTTCCGGCACACAAAAGGAAGAAGATGAGGCGTCTGGCTCCCTACATAGCCTCACCTGGAGTAACACACTGGAACACTTGGGTACAAGAGTACAAGCATGTTGAGAGTAGCAGTGAGCAAATTCAGGGTCTAAGAAATGACGGGGGACAGACTAACAGAGTTTGTATTTAGACTGCAAAAATGTCCCTGCCCTATCTGAACATCTCAGGCACAGCCCAACTCAACTTCTGCCAGTTGTAACAATGCAGGTCTGGGTACCAGCCAAGCTTCTGAATTACGATCCTCTTTGAAATGTGAGGTCTGACTGTTATTAGTAAACACTGACATGGGACTGGGGATTCATCTTAGTGAGAGGGCATTCACCTAGCACGTACAAAGCCTCATGTTCAGTCTCTAGCATCTTAACAAACTAATGAAATAGAACATGTTTAAACTGAATGTGAACTTCACAGATCTTACTTGAAGGTCACCAACTGTGCCCTAAAAGAATGTATCTCAAAGACAGTGGTCACCCAGCACCCTTCAGTAAAGGGCAGAGGAAAACGGGGAGGTCCTTCAACAATAAGGAGTCCAGGAAGGCTAGGGATAGGAAGCAGGGTTTTAGAGGACCCTAAAGTCTCGCGGATCTGAGAGACAGTGTCATAGACCCAAACAGAATCCTGGACTTTTATTTATACATATGGGGAGATGAAGGTTTCTCATTGCTCGCCAGACTCGGCCTGCTTCCCCGAGCGCACACTCTCTATTGTCCTTAGCGTTCACACTTTAAAGCAGAGAAACTGAGCAGCTGAGTCACCAGTCTGGGAGGACATCCTTGTCCTTCCTTCCGTCCCCTTGGCTCCCCTTCACTCGCTGATTGTTTCCAGGGCTAGCGCTGGGGGCAGAGTTGTCCAAAGGCCTGCTCTGTTCTCCACCCTGCTAGTTCCAGGCACCAAAACCTCAGAAGGAAAGAGATTTCAAAGTGCAAGGCCCAGTTTGATTTCCGGACATGGAAGGTCTCTCATTCAGCAGTGGGTGCAGAAAGAAAGTGCCAGTCCACCACCCCTGGTGCTCCTCGGGTTCTGCTCCTGCCTGTGGAGTTGCCAACTGCTCATCAAGCCCTCAAGTCTGCTGTGAGCCTTCCCTTTCCGGATCCTTCCATCCTGGCTCTGACACACCCTCCTGCTCTGTGGAGGGTCCCCTTGGAGCAGCACAGACAACAAGGTTGCTGACTTGAGCTTCCAGTGGGCCTTGAGACCCAGAAGTCAGTCCCTGGCCCAACTCCTGGATTTTCCCCTCTTCTTGCCCCTCCAGGTCAGAGTCCTATTTCCTATAGCATACATACCTAAGAAGGGTCTCTTCCACAAACCAGGTGCCAAAGTGACTTATCCTCCTGCTGACGACAAAGTGGTTGAAACAGGGACTTGATCACTCCAAGATATGTTGAAGGGGAGGTTTTTATTGTAGCTATGAGGGAGAGTATAGTCAGAGGCATCTGGAGAAGTCCAGAGCAGGGAGAAAGTAGTAGACTAAACATGGCCAGTGGACTGAACCAGGCCATGAAAGGGATGAAAACAGAAGAGAGAGAGGGAGCAAAGGAGACTGAGTGTGTGTGGACCAAAAGAACCAAGAGAGTGCATGGCCAAAATGGCCGGGTTATATAAGAATGAAGCTGCGGGACAAAGGCCATGAACTGGAGAAGTTTAGGGTGGGGGTTGGATGAGAAGCGCTGAGAGGAGCCACTCTGGGAGCCTCAGGGAGGGAGCCTGAAGGCCAGCGTATGCCTCGGAAAGGTAAGAGTCAGCACACTTAGACAGGCATTTCTCTGGGTTTCTTCTGGACCTGACACAAAGATCACATTAAAGCCACCTGATTTGTTTGTTTTATTCAGTCTATTCTGCACACTGAAATTCAGATGAATTTTCAGTGTATAGATCTTAAAACATCTATACCATGGTCCCATTAGGACTACATACTGAACATCAGTCATGGTTTCTGCCTATCATCACCTTTGGGCAGAATCCCTGGACAAAAGCATGTCCTTAGCCTGCCTAGGTCAATCAAAAACAAAAAGCAGAGTGGGGCATCAAACATGGATGTGTAATCTGTCCACCAAATGACTGCAAATCGGCTAGATTTTTGAGCAATGGGTTTCTGATCCATTTGGAATCATTATTTGCAACATTAGCTACCAGAGACCTGAAGGTGATCGATCACGAGGAGGAACTGTTCATGAATCAACCAAAGAACTAAAGACAAACTATTACCTTATTTGTTATTTCTGAGTTTTGTTTGTTTGTTTGCTTTTTGACTTTTTTTCCTGCCCTAAATCCGTTCCAGTTTCTGCTTGAGGACAGTGGGTGGACTTCAGCAAAAACGGTCCAGCTCTTCCTTGACTCTCAACTAACTTCCTAAGAGCCAAGACATCACATCTCTCTCGCTCTCAGCTCTACCACTGCTACCCCACCATGCCTACCTAGTACATCCAGCAAGGCCATGTGGTGGACACCTTTGCAAACGTGTCATGCCATCTCTCTAACCTCAAGGGCCTCATTCAGGGTCATGCAGATGCCACCTGAAGTGTGCACTCCTTCCAGTATATCAGGCCAAGTTCAGATACACGGGAACTGACATGGAGGTCCATGAACTACTCATCATTAACTGTGTAACATATGCCCATTTCTTTACCAAACAGGCAAGTTATTTATTTAAACTCTAAACTGGAGATAGTAAATATGGTGTTTATGGAGGGTTGTAAGTTTTCGAAGTCCCATAGGAAAGGACCTTGAAGTGACAGTGGACAGTTCTGTGCCTGCCCACATCTCCCTTCTTGTCTTTGCTGAGAAGCCACCATCCGGTTGTAGGGCTTGGCACTGACTTCCTGGACGAGAGCAGCTTTGCAGCAGCAGCCCCCACCCCTGCTCTTTGTTACTCAGCGCCAGTGAACGCTGAGTCTGAGGAAACATCAGTGCCAAGATCCTACCTCCCTTTAGACCAGAATCTGCCTATCGATGTATTTTAATTTTTTTCTCTTTTTTTTTATTTTATGTGTATAGGTATTTTATCTCACGCATGTCTGTGTACCATATATGTGCCTGATGCCCACAGAGACCAGAAGAGGTCTTCTGTCATGACAACAGCCTTACCTCTGTGTACAGTGATGAAGAGATCAGTCTTCAGATTCAGGCTCATAGGCTACACAATAGTGAGCAGGACTTCAGCGTTTCTTCCCCTGCTTCCTCATCTGGTGACCAGTCAGTACAGCAGTGTTTTCCATCTTTTTCATGTCATGACACACAGAGAAGGTGAAAATGGTTGTAGAACATTCAAAGGGAAACATGACTCTCTCGGGTGCTTCATTCGTCTCGGAGAAGAGCCGGTCACTACCACACACACTTCCCTTGCTTTCAAGGCCTGCTGGTTCAGGGTTTGGTAAAAAGAGCAAGTTGGGAAATTTGTGTCAAACCAGTCTCTAATTACAAAGTAGAGCTAACAGGAAACAATATGCTTCCATCTTCTCATTACACAGAAGAAACTGAGGCTATCCAGGTGGAATAACTCACTCAGAACATACCAGATTGGTATGAGCCATTCATTGCCTTCAGTCATAATCAGATGCAAGGTCCAGAGGCTGCCAGCCTTCTTCTTGATCACAGGCAGTCATGAGAGCAAACACTCCCATCCCTGTCAGGCTTCCATCCCCACGGATGACACAGTGATTCATTGGCGCCACACTCTTGTAGCCCAGGAGGCTGGCCAAAAGACAGCTGCCTTGGAGCACAGGCGTCTGTGGGGAGTGACAGCAAGTTGCTTTCTTCCTCTTCAATCTGGAAAGCTGCAGTGGATGAGCGTATGCAGAACTAAAGCCAGGATTTGGGGACAGGAGCATCCTCAGATCGCCATTCAGAACAGACAAGCCAGCCGTCGGCACGTTGAAGTCATCTGTCTAATCGGAGGATCATTTTTCTCCATTTCGGTTTATTTCAGATGTGGAATGACTGGGGTTCCGGGGAGCTGTTTGGGTCCTGACACTTAAGCTGCTTCTGCATCGCTGACTTATAACAGCCCCTTCATGCTGGAAATGCTGATTGCCTTTTTGTATGCATCTCAGCCTCCTCACTTACCCATCCCCAATTCTGTTTCCCCAGCGCTGCATGGAGATGAAAAGCCAGAATATAAAATATGAAATCTGCTGGTAACAAAGAGAGGCCAGGAAGCCACTGGTTACAGGGGTTTGAAAGTGGAAGCCAGGTGCATTCTCTCCAGTATAGCTGCAGACTGCCTTTGAAACAGATGCCGCCTGCCTTTCCCCTACCCCCTCTGCACCATTCTCTTTGCATAGAGGAGGCGCAGAGTTCCAGAATGGGAGACAATAGGCATTAATATCCATTGGAACGACAGCTGCTTATGACTGGCTTTGCTCAGGACACGTGTCCCCCAAGCAAAATGATTAGTGCTCCAGCAGAATACGATATTTGTGGATAATCAAAAGTGAATGGCAGATAGTTTGGACTAATGGAAAGCAGGGTTCACATCAACCTTTCTGGAAGTTCCCACCAAGAATAAATATTAAAGTTAGTTTATCGCGGTAACCTCCTTCCCACTCATAATATGGTGGATTTGTTTAGTGTATCCTGGGAAAACATACCTGCCTTGCTAGAGTGTTATGAGGATTAATTAATGTTTGTAAAGTGCTTGGAATTCCACTGAAGAAATGTACCTTGTCGATGCAAATTATTATCATTATATAGTGCCTTTCATCCCAGAATCTCAAAGTGCCTCCCCAACAATTAATTAAGCCTCCCTACACCCCTGTGAGAGAGTTAAGCATCATTCTGCCCTCGCTAATACAGGCAGCATCTGCACCTGAGTCACAGGGCCTAATGTTCAAGTCACTTTCCAGGAGGGTGTGAGGCTCCATTAGCAACCACCCCTAAGTGCTTCATAATGCACAGTCACTAACAATGCAAAGCAAGGCACTATAGGCTGATACCACGGCCATAAGAACTTGTTTCATTTTGTTTAATCTTTAATTGTCTGGGCTACTTGTTTTATTTTTCTCCCTCCCTGTAAAGCAATAAGGCGTTTGTTGAATGAGAGCCCAATTAGTAACTATAACGAGTTATTGTACTAAAGACAACTTCTAATTCCTTTCTTCAGCATCTGAAACTCCAGGCATATACATTTCATTCCTCCCTCACTATTCATACCCCTTCAAAGGAGTTCACTTACTTTTCCCAAAATTTTTATGGCCTTATGAACAGAATGAACATATGGGTATGTGTTTGCAATCTGGGACGAGCATGTCTGCCTCACATGGGAGCAGCTCAAGTAGGTGTAGTAATTCTCTTGTCAAGGCAAGTGCAGTAATTCACAAACACAAACCCCTTGTATTGACTCCTTGAAATGAAGCTGGGAAATCAAGGGAGCATGTGTAGCATTCCAGGGTGCAGTTGTCCTGGAGACAACTCTGCTGCACAGTCTTTACAAAATGCCTTTCAAAACAGAACTTTCGACATTTTTTCTTGACAGGAGATTCCTGGGTCTCCTGTCTAGCTAGTCATGAAAACTCGGGAAGAAAATCACAGTTTCCAGTTCCCTGCGAGCTCCGTGGAACCCTGCCATACATCCTGTGCCCAAACTTGGGAAACTTGGGGGACATAGGAGAACCTTCGTCCAACAACAGATGGGAACAGAGGCAATGACCCACATCAGAGCACTGGACTGAGCTCTCAAAATCTACCTGAAGAGTGGAGGGAGTGGGAGTATGAGCAAGGAATCCAAGACCATGAGGGGTTCATCCACTGAGACAGTTTGCTTGAACTCACCAACCCAACTGGACTGGAAGTCAGGTCTGAACGTGGTTGACAGTTGGGGCAGACTGTGGGAACACTGATGGTGACACTGGGATTTGTCTCTACGGCATGTACTGGCTTCTTGGGATCCTATTCTCTTCAGATGTAAGCCTTACTCAACCTAGATGTAGTAGGGAGGGCCTTGGACTTTCCACAGGGTGGGGTGCATGGCCCTCCCTTAAGATTGAGGGGTGGGGTGGGAAGGTCTGTGGAGGGGGTAGGAGGGGAGTGGGAGGGAGTAGGAAATTGGATTGCTATTTTCTAAGTAATAAAATAATAATAATAATAATAATAATAATAATAATGAAAGAAAATTACAGTTTCCAACTCTACTCCTACCTTAGTGGTGGTGCCGCCTCCTGGTATCAGTATCATCTCCTAAGGTCCTTGAGGCTCCACCTTCTTCTTGTCCAGATCTTGGAGTTGGGAGGCCTGGCTTTCCAGTGTAGGTGACTGTTTCCCAATCATGGTACCTGGAGAAATCACGAGCCTCCTTGAGATCCCATTTCCTTACCTGGGAGTGGGAATGATGACATCAGCCCTATGACTTTCCGTGTTGCTATGTAAATGGAATGCAGTCATTTTTGTGTGGGAGCCTTTTGTAAAGCATGAGAGCTCTCCAGGTGTAAGGAGCTAACGATAGCAGGAGTCCCGTCACTGGAAGGACCCTTGATGAGAGCTCTAACTCACACTGAAGCAGCCAACCCCATAAGATGTGCTTATCATGACACTGGCCAGCGCTGAGAAGGAAAATCAAGACTGAAAATCTGAGTTGCTGGTTGTGGTTTTACTGGTCTAACTTTTCCCTCCCCACCATATCTAGTCTCCTAATTCTGTTAAGGAATTCTCCCCTCGCACCATATAATTTGGTTGGGCTTTCATACATGGTGTCTCACCTACTCCTTCAAACAGAGTGAGTAGGAGACCCAGGTGAGCCAATCAGATTAGGCTGTCCTTTGGTCTAAGGGCTGGGTATTAACCCAAGCATAGCCATTTAGATTTTTTCAATGATTTACATATAAGTGTGAGTAGAAAGAAGTCCCATTTTCAAGATATTGCTAAACTGAGAGGGTGTGAGTGGTTTGTCACTTGAGAAAACCTGTTTGGGAATGCTGTTGTGGAATATTATTTTAAGATGTATTACATTCATTTATGCTGTGGAATGTTTGTTTAATGATGCAAAGATGGGCCACATTCTTAATGTTGCATTTATTTAACTCTGTGAAGTTGTGTTACTTTGCATCATAAAGCATCTGATAGGTCTAATGAAGAGCTGAATGGCCAATAGCCAGGTAGAAGAAAAACCAATAGCTAGGAAACAGGGGGAGAAATCTGGAAAGAGAAGATCTAGGAGTGAAAGAAGATGGAGTGGAGGAGTCCAGGGGCAGCCAACCAGCTACACAGCAAGTCATGAAGTCAGAAGTAAGAGAGAGGCAAGTAGAAAGACAGAAGCCCAGAAGAAAAAGGCAGACAAAATAATTTAAGGAAAGCTGTCTAGAAATAAACCAAACTAAGACTAAGCCTCAGTGTGTATGATTATTTGGAAACTGGATGATGGACCCGCCCCCCCCCCCCCCCGAAAGAGAAAAGAGTGAAAACAAAGCAAAACTACAGAATGCCAGGCAAAGACACGCCAAGGAAGGAGACAGTCACTTAGAGTACACGCGTGCTCTGGGACACTAGCTCACTGCTTTGACATCATTTATGTTCCTGGATAAACTGTGCTTTAACTCCCGGTTCTCATCAGAATCAATGAATTCCCTCTACTTAAGGTGACTTCAGTTGAATATCTATTCCTCCCAATAGTGAAAGGCTTAGCTAACACTGTCACAAATCAGTGAACAACAGATAAGACTTACCACTTTGCTTTACGGAGAAAGTAAGCCGTAGAACCCCAACCTCTGACTGGAGGACACAACTTTCTTAATGGCTTCACAATTCCTATGAAGCAGAAAGAAAAGGAGATTTGAAATCACCCTGTTTGTCAAAGGCTATAATATGGTAGACCTCCTCATACGCTAGAGTTTCATTGGAAGCTGGAGATCAGCAGGATATGATGGTAAACACTTTTAATCCCAGGACTGGAGAGGTAGAGGCAGACAGGTCTCTGCTGCGGGAGCTCCTTCTGCTCCTTTAGCCAATCGCTGCTGAGTTACCAGCCCATTGGGGCGTGGTCTCTCTCTCTTTTAAAAAAAAGCAGCGGCTGTCCTCCACTCTCTCTCTCTGGCTTCCAGCTCCACTTCCGGCTCCTAGACTCCTTTCCTGTTCGCGTGGAGGGGCTGTTGTCTGGGACAGTAATCTGTAAGTTTTTTCCCCTTTGAATAAATAACCATTCTATTAATCATAATTCCAAACTGGTGTGGGATTGTTTGTGACTTACGCCTTCATCTGGCGCCCCACGTTTGGTTGTAGAACCTCCCCTTCCCCCCCCCCCCCACTCAACTGCTTGCTGACAGCTCGGCTAGGCACGAGCCCTCCCTCAAGGTGTGGCCTGTGCCCTGTGTGGGGAGCCAGCAGTTCAATTAAACCCCACGCCTCCCAAGCTCTACAGGCTCGGGACAGTCTCTGCCTGCCTGGTTTGCTCTTTTCTGAGTTGTTTTTATCACGTGGAGGCATATGCGGCTTCCGGGTTGCTCTTTTCTACCCCTGGATTCTGGGTTTCTGGTTCCGTGTATGGAACTGATTTAATTACTTTTTCTTTGTTGAGCAACTTTTATTTCCTAGATTTAACAAATACTAAGGCAGACACTGAAACAGGACCTCGTTTCCGTCACTTTTGCAGTGGTTCTAGTCGCCACTTGGCAACAGCGCCGCCCACTAGACAAGAGGTAATATGGCAGTTTTTGTTTCCAACGCCAATTTTACTGTTTTCTTTATTAATGCAATGGATTATGTCATGCAAGGTTTATATGACTATGGGGATACGTTAATTTACTTGTTACTAGGTTTCAGTTTTCTTTTCAATATTTTATCATTACGGAAGATACGATTTTTACGGACTAATAATGAACAACTAGTTGAGAGGATTAAAATGATTGAAAATCAGGGGTTATCTGAACAAGTGGATACTATGATAGACAAAATTGACTCCATGTCCAAGGGTACTAGGAAGTTACCTGAAAGGGTTCAGGCTGTTGAATTTGACGTTCAGACGTTACCACAAAGTTTTAATAAGGTAACAGATAGAATGTACCTCCAGAATGGGAATCAAAAAACTGATACCTCAGTGAAATTCCTAGAAACACGGGTAGGTAAGGAGATTCAGGATTTAAGGGAGACAATGATAAAAAGATTAGAAATGATTGAAGAAATTATTGGAGCTGGTGAACAGAGTAAGAAGGCACAAGGACAGGATACAATGCCACCACCAGCTGTTAGAACTGGCTTACTCAGGGTTCTAACAACATACCCTGTAATTTATTCTGACAAAGCGTCAACTTCTAAAGGCTCAAAGGGAGTTAAAGAAGCTAGATGGACACCAATAGCAATGAATGATTTAAAAGAAATTAAGCAAGCTGTCGTTAATTATGGCTTGCACTCTGCATTTCTTAAGGAAATGATAAGGACTTGGGCTTCTAATGTCAGAGCTACCCCCCATGATTTCTCTCAGCTAGTGTCTGCAGTTTTAGATGATGGACCTTCCTTGATGTTTGGAATTTATTTCAGAGAAGAATCCAAACATATGGAACAGCAAGGAAGAGCAAAAGATGTGGAGGTTTCCCAAGATCAAATTCTTGGTGTAGGAGCATATGCTGATCCACAGGTCCAAGCTCTTTATGATGAAGAAGTGCTGTCCTTATGTCACAAAGCAGCCTTGAATGCTTTGAATAGAATACAAGATCCAGCAAAAAGGGTCGAAACATATACCAGGGTTAGGCAGGGACAGAGAGAACCCTTTACTGACTTTGTGCAAAGATTAATTGCACAAAGATCTGGACATAGGGGTAACAGACTCAGAAGCTAGACTAATACTTCTTGAATCTCTAGCTTTTGAAAATGCAAATACAGAATGTAAAAAGATAATTGGGCCTTTAAGATCTAGATCAGCACCTATGGAAGAATGGATACAGCATACAATGAATGTTGAGACGTTTAGCTATAATGATGAATCCTGGGTAGGAGAAGCGATTTCCAAAGCTATGAGGAGACATCAAACTACCAGGTGTTTTAATTGTGGTAAATTAGGACATCTGAAAATGGATTGCGGCAAAGAAATTCCAGGAATAATATCTCCTCTGGGAATGACAAAAGTAGGAGACCTCAGCCTTCAGGTATATGTAGGAGATGCAGTAAAGGCCGACATTGTTCCAATGAATGCAGGTCAACAACAGACAGACAAGGCAACCCGATACCATCGGGAAACTCCTTGAGGGGCCTCTCGCAGGCCCCCAAGCCAAAAGTGGCCCAGTCATTCCCAGTTACAGTCGAAAATGTGTCTCACCAAGAAAATTGAAAACTCCAGTGTCTGCTGTAAAAAGTAATACTGGTCTAAATGATGAATTACATGTGGAGAATGAGTCAAAAAATTCAGTATGACAGAGTAAACGTATATTTTGGCAAACTTCTATTAATGATCAAAGACCAAAGCTAAGAGTCTGTATAAATGGCATTTTTATTGAAGGCTTATTAGACACAGGTGCGGATGTAAGTATAATTACTCCAGAATCTTGGCATCCGAATTGGCCTCTTCTAGAGGTAGATGTTCAGTTCCTGGGAATTGGAACCCTATCTCATGTAAAACAGAGCACAAGATGGGTGGAATACATATGGCCTGAAGGGCAAATAAGAAGACTAAGGCCATATATAGCCAATATTGCAATACATTTATGGGGCCGTGACCCGCTACAGCAATGGAATACCCAGATTAACATTCCTGTAGTTCCAGGAACTCACAATTCTGGGAAGGATATAATGAGGTATTATGGAAAAAGGTCACCAGTCATTCAGGCTGTACAAGAACATACAGCCAATAGCAAACCTTTAGAGGTACCAACAGCCCTACCTTTAAAATGGCTAACTGAGAAGCCAATATGAATCAAGCAGTGGCCTCTAGCTGAAGATAAATTACAGGCTTTGGAACAGCTGGTACAAGAGCAACTAGATGCTAACCATATTGAAGAATCAACCAGCCCTTGGAATTCTCCTGTGTTTGTTGTAAAAAAGAAATCTGGTAAATGAAGAATGGTGACAGATCTAAGAGCTGTCAACAAGGTAATTCAACCTATGGGTCCGCTAAAATCTGGAATTCCTTTGCCTTCTCTATTACCAAGAGGATGGCCTCTTATAGTTATTGATTTGAAAGACTATTTTTTCACTATACCTTTGCAAGAAAAAGATAGAGAAAAATTTGCCTTCACAGTGCCTACTTATAATAATTCTCAGCCTACTAGGAGATATCAATGGACTATCCTCCCACAGGGGATGCTCAATAGTCCCACATTGTGTCAATATTTTGTTAATAAGCCATTGGAAATAATTCGTAAGCAATTTCCCAAGTCCATAATTTATCATTACACGAATGACATTTTATTATCTGATTCAAATAAAGATACTTTGGAAAGTATGTTTGAAGAAGTAAAGAAAGTCTTGCCTAGGTGGGGATTACAAATTGCCCCTGAAAAGATTCAAAGAGGAGATTCTATTAATTACCTAGGTTACAGAATAGGGTTAGAGAAAATTCGAATGCAAAAGGCACAACTTAGGAGAGACAGGTTACGGACACTTAATGACTTCCAAAGATTGTTAGGAGACATTTCCAGTCTACGACCAGCTGTTGGGATAACACCTGATCTAATAGTTCATTTAAACAAAACCTTAGATGGCGATAAAGATTTGAATAGTCCCAGAAAATTGACAGTTGAAGCAGAAAAGGATTGACAATGATTGAGGAAAAATTACAGGAGGCACATGTGGATAGGGTGAACCTGAATCTTAGTTCCATCCTAGTCATACTGCCTTCCAGAATTTCTCCTACAGGGATTTTAATGCAGAGGGAAGATATTATTTTAGAGTGGATATTTATATCTCATAAACCAAGTAAAAAATTAAAAACTTATGTAGAAAAGGTCTCTGAATTAATTATAAAAGGTAAACTGAGACTTCATCAACTAGCAGGTATAGACCCAGCAGAAATTATAGTGCCTTTTACTACTGAGGAAATAAGAAAGTTATGGGAAGATAATGAACCATGGCAAAGAGCTTGTGCTAATTTTTTGGGAGAAATTAACAGCAACTATCCCAAAAGCGATAGACTTAACCTCATAAAGAGAGCTTCTTGGATTCTTCCTAGAATTGTACGTGATGCTCCAATAACTGGAGCCCGGACATTTTATACCGATGCAAATATATCAGGGAAAGCAGGTTATAAATCGGAAGAATTGAGTAAGGTGGAACAAAGCCCTTATAATTCTGTCCAGAAGGCAGAATTATATGCCATTCTTATGGTGCTAAGGGATTTTAAAGAACCTCTTAATATAGTTACAGATTCACAATATGCAGAAAGAGTTATCTTGCATATTGAAACCGCTGAATTCATACCAGATGACACAGAGTTGACTTCATTGTTTATCCAGGTACAGGACATAATTAGTAATAGGCTTTGTCCAATGTACATAACACACATCCAGTCCCATACCAGTCTGCTTGGCCCTCTAGCACAAGGTAATGCTGAAATTGACCAATTATTGATTGGAAGTGTTCTGCAGGCCTCAGAATTTCATCAAAAACATCATGTCAATAGTAAAGGCTTAAAGAAAGAGTTTTCCATTACATGGCAACAAGCTAAGGACATTATAAAGAGATGCCCTACTTGTTCTTTCTATAATCAAACACCATTGCCTGCAGGGAGTAACCCAAAGGGTACTCAAAAGAATGAAATCTGGCAGATGGATGTGTTCTACTTTATGGAATTTGGTAAATTAAAATATATACACCACACCATA